GAAAGAAAGAAAGAAAGAAAGAAAGAAAGAAAGAAAGAAAGAAAGAAAGAAAGAAAGAAAAGACCAGCCTCTCCAACTTTCTGCGAGTCATTCCCGGAAATTGTCTCGTGGAGCTGCTCGGTCTCTCCTGCTCAACTCTGGGGAAAGCCACGACTTCGGGCAATTCTTCCTCGATTTCCCTTGCGCATTTCCTCTTTCTGCAGCGCAGCTTTCCTTTCCTTTCCTCACGTGCCTCCGTTTTCGTGGCGAAGGATCGCTTGGGAGGCCGCGTCCTCCTTCCAGAGCGCCCTGAGCGGCGGAGAGGAACGCGGCGGAGCTAGAGAGCAGGTTTGATTAGGAGCCTTCCTTGGCGTTTGGAAAGGTCTTCGGCCCAACGCGTTGCCTCGTAGCATGTTCCCGCTAGCCTGCTGCGCGAGTGACCCTAAGTGATAGTTCCTTTAGGAAACCACCGTTGGTTGGTTTGGCTTCACACCCTGCGCCTAAGCCACAAACTGCAAGGTCGAGTGTGAAACTCAGCCTGCGGTGTTTTTGCAGGGTGAGCCCAGCCAGTGGCTCAGTGACGGCACGAGGGGCGCGTAAGCAACGACCCCTCTGTCGGTCTCTTCCTCTCCCGTTTAGTTGCTGTGCGACTTGCGATGGGATCGAAGCTCTCTGTTGATGATTCTGTCCGCGTCGTAATCGTTGGAGGGGGCTTTGGGGGGATCGAAGCTGCTCGCCTCCTGCAGGATTGGGGGATCCCCTTCCTCCTCGTGGACATGAGAGACGCCTTCCACCACAACGTGGCTGCTCTGCGGGCTTCTGTACAGGGAGGTAATTTCTCCTTTTGGGTTTTCCTCCATGTCTTTTGAGTTGCCTTCCCCTAGCTCAGGGCTGCGTAGAAGTATTGAACTATATAATCTCCCTCATCTCCAATCAATGTGGCTGTAATCCCGCACACCTGGAAGGCAGCAGCTTGTGAAAAGGTTGTTTTAGGAGCTGTCCAGCTCGGTCATCTCTGGCTTCCTTGGATGGACTTGATGGCTCTCAAACTTTGGGGAAAACGTGTGTAATATCAAGGCACATTAAAGTAGTAAAAAGGTCCATTTATGTGTGTAGATTAGACCAGGGGTTCTCAAATGGTAATACTTCTACCACAGGCAGGACTCAGAAGTTATCTAGGTGGGATACACCGGGTAAATCACTGAGCCTTTATTTATGCCTTGAAAACAGCATAAATGATTAAGTGGAATAATACAGGTACATTTTCTCATTAAAAGTGTTTTCCTGCTGCTATTTCTACTGACAGCAATTGATGGAGCTTAAGATATGAAAATTTGAGAACCAGTAGACTCTGGGTGTGTTAGGTTTTGTGTAGGGACCTGAGTCCCAGCTCTTTAAATACTATTAACTGATTCAATTTTCTATGCATAATTTTGTAGGCTTTGCAAAGAAAACCTTTATCTCCTTCTCTGGGACCTTCAAAGAAAGTTTCCAGCAGGGCAAAGTAGTTGGGATCGATTTGGAGAAACATCAGGTCCTATTGAACGATGGTAAAGTGAGTGCCTCTAAATCAAAACATGTTGTGAAAGAGCAATTGTGAAAGTGTAAGAGAAACTGCAACCTCATTCTAATATTCTTTCTTAGGAGCTTTCATTTTCTCACCTGATCCTTGCCACTGGGAGTAAAGGGCCTTTCCCTGGGAAGTTTAATGAACTTACTAGCATGGAGATGGCTATTCAGGCTTATGAGGACATGGTCAAGGAGGTGGGTATGACTTGCAGAAGAAAGGGGTGTCCTTTGCTTGCTTTTGTTTTCCCATGGAGTGTGTGTTAGGAGACGTCTCGGTAAGGACCGTCTGTGGCTGGTTTATATGAATATGGTGTTAATGTGTGCTAGTTATTCATTCTAATGTAATTTGTGGTTAGGAATGTATTTTAAAAAAATACGAATTGCTATATGAATTGGACTTTCAAATTAGCCAACTCATCTCATCTGTCATGAAGATAACAATCTTGGCCTGTTGTAAAGATTGCTAAGGTATTACTAGCATTGCTAAGGTATTATTATTATTACTGCTGCTACTGTTGTTAGAAATGTAATTGGCCCGCTGCCCATCTCACCTGGGAATTTGCCATTTTAACCATGGGTTTATAAAATATCCTTCCATCCTGTCAAAAATTGCCTTTTAGTGGCATCCATAAAAGGTGTTTTTTTTAAAAAAAAAAAAAAAAGTGGGAACATTACTATAAAAAATGAAGGTAATATAAAACATATCAATTGTATTGGAAAGAGAAGTATAACAGATATAATGCTGCACTTCACTTCTAATAACCAGTGCCACAACAGTAATAGGAGCAATCCTGTGCATGTTTACTTGGACATAAATTCTGTCGAATGAATTGCAGCTCAGCACACGTAGGTAGAATTGTAGCAGAAGATTCCCTGGGCTTCATAACAGAAGTCAGCACTGTGTAGATCCTGGAATATTATAGTCTAGGAATTTAAACTGGGAAATCAAAGTTCAATTTAGGAAATCTATATAATCACCCAATTCATGTAATCATGACTCTGAGCAGTGTATATTAAAAAAAAAAATTACAGGTAAAAACCATACAAAATCAAAAGGAACAAAATCTAAAGCCAATATATCAAATTTTACTCAATCATGAAAACTCACCGAGATTGTAGTCCATGTAAGCTGCACCAAAATCACTGAGACTTTATTCTGTGTGGGTACAGATAGGTTTGTATCGTATCAGCACACCTCATATATGCTGAAGATGCCACCTTGGTGTCTGGAAGTGAGGAAGACCTAAGGAATCTCATTACTGACAGACAGGATGAAATATTGTCCATCATGTCAGACCAGAACAATTCTGCTCTCTCTCTGGTGTTAACTACTGTCATAGTTTGAGCCACTTTAAGATATCAGTAGTCAAGCTGTGAGAGTGTGACTACAGAGTCAGGCCTAATTTAATGGTTGTAACTAGAAAATCATATTT